TAGCGCCTTGGTTCAATCGTCCATGTGAGGTTTTGGGGGTGGTGCTCATTATGTTAATACCCTTAGCTGACCTTAAATGTCGTTTTCTTATTGGTCGATCGTTGCGTGGAAACTTGCATAGTGAAACGTGGCACCGTACATAGTCCATACACGTACACGTTGTGTGTCTCTGCACACGGCACCAATGCACAAAAAGTGTGGTTCCTGTCACGTCCGCAAAAGGCGAATAGCTGCAAATAATTTGATGACGTCCGGATTTACCAAGGTGTGATTGGACACTCCACATATTAGCCCCGCCTACACTTATCTGTATTCGCATACGAGGTCGTGCGCTAGAAATCCAGCGCAAAATAAAGAAAAACATAAGCTTTTGCCGACCATTGAACCAAGGCGCTAGATTGGGTCCAACTGATTTGCATAGAAATGGTGGCCGCGTGAGGTCGCTGTTCGCGCTGTATTTTTAATGCACCGCATGCATAGCGCTATCGAGGATATCGTTTACCGCGCTACGGCCGGGATGAATAACAACTAGCACCTTGACCAAGGCTACGTCTCACATCACATTGTTATATTGTGCCATAAGCCAAATAGCTATTGAAAGGTGTTAGTTACTGTATAAGAAATTAATCGTCGTTATTTTTATTTTTTTGATTACTGCACTATACCTTTTGGACACGAATATTGTGCCAGACGGTATTTGAGTGGTGTTGAATTATGTGTATTTAAATACAATGTATTGTAGAAACTTGACACGTGACCGTTCTAGATTAATAAAATTGCAGTATCCAAGTCACGATTTAACAAAGCAAAAGCGGACCTGGGGATCAGCTATTAAAGGGGCACATTCCAATCTACGGCGAGGTATACCCCCTTTCTGCATTGCCCTCACTACGTCCGTATTGCACAAACTTAATTGCAGCTGCTGTAAATAGTAATGCACTAATACAGTTTATCCTTTAAAATTTAGCAATGTAAGTGATCAATATACACACACCAACACCAAAACAGTCATGAGCAACAGAGAAAACAGCTTTATTAGAGCAGTGATGATATCCTAATCGCAGAGTACAATGTATATATAATCATGGTTTGCACACAAACAATACCACTAGGCTACAAATAGGTAAACATAGAACAGGTAAACTAATAGTGGTTTTCCCGGCTATTTTAAAACTTGTATCATTCGTATTCACCGTTTTTAATATTCCAGTTCGTCATTCAACATCGATTTAGTAAATACTTCCAATGTTTAATTTCGTCTTTTGTCATACCATTTCCATTGTTGTTCAATCGAATTCAATCCGCCAACGCCCATTTTCGGCGAGGAGTATTTGATTTCGTCTCGTCTACGCCGAACAGTTTTATTCAGAAATCAAATTCGTCTTTTGCCACACAATTTAAAGTTTGTTCAATTTCGCAACATTTTTTTTCTTTTACTTTTCCTGTTACTCACAAATGTTGCTTGTTTTTTAATCGATTTTCCTTGAAAAAGAAATGTCATTGACTCGTAGGTACAATGTAACAAAGTAAAATAAGGGTCATCGACTGTTTTTTCACATGGTCATCTTTATTTTTTCACTCTTTTAATGCCCAACGTTGCAGCCACTTGGACGTAGTCCACGGCATCATATTCAAAGGATTAATTCGTATCCTGTCCTGGTTAGAAACTTTGTTGTATGGACCTCGGGCACAAGGAACATGGTAAATAACCCACGCCAGACTAATTTACTTAGCAATTTTAAATTGATTGGCATAAGACGAATTTAATCTCTGAATACTGCCATTCTCTGAATACTGCCACAGTGTGTTTAAATGTGGTGACCGAACTTTGGAATTGAATGGTAAGTGACTAAATCGCTTTGGTAAAAGCGTGTGAATTTTGTTCTCAGACAAAACTGAATGTTACAGTTTGTGAATTTGAATGAAAAATGTTTCAAAATAGCCGGGAAAACCTATAGTATAGCTTGCCCAATAATTCGCATTACATTCCAAATTGTGTAAACTTTCATTCATTATCTGCTAAGGCATAGACGAATCAGGGCACGTGATCACTGTACACGAGGCCCCCTTCAATGTCGAAAGCATTGTGCAAGCTATTGCGCAATGCTAATTCCCCATTTCGGATTATCTGAACAATAGCTAACACAATGCTTTCGCCATTGAAGGGGGCCTTCGTGATAGAATTGACAGCATGCCCTGATTGGTCTATAGCATGTATATATAGAGATTTATATTGTTTTCATTTATTTTATGTATGTATGTATGTATGTATGTATGTGTGTTTGTTTGTTTGTTGGTTGATTGGATGGTTGGTTTGTTTTTGTTTCCATGCGAGTTGTATCCAGACTCCTTCTTTGTACTATATTTCGTTAAAAATAGGATAAAGCCGACCTCAATGTAAATTTAAAAGGTCTTTTTCACAAGAAAAAATGCTTTAATTCAGCGTATAGAACTGTATGACAATACAAGGTTTTCAACCATCCTGGGTTTTGATCAAAGAACTTGTTTCAATTAAATTAAGCCATTAAAGAAGTTTTTCCTAATTATTTAAAAAGTGACTTCGCCTTATAATTTCGCTTTAAAAAAAGTCGACATCAAGTCACACTCAACACCATATGAAACCAGACACATCAGATAAGGCAGTGGACCTATTTTGAATTTTTTTTTTGTCGTTTGTACCCTATTTGAACTTTTTTGTACTCACAAGTTGTTTCGAATAAATGTTTCTGATTACGAAATAAACCAAAAAGAGACTTTACAGATATATAAAAAACTACCATTTGTCAATGCAGTGTTTATTTGCCATGTCTTTATGTTTAACACAACTTGTAAATTTACCTTAATTAATACGTAGATTTGTTGGAAGTGTTCGCGAATTGAGAGGAGAATGTACTGCGCCTTGATGGTTGCCATATTTTCAATGGGGAGCGCCAATAAAATCCTAAAATCATTCACACTATATTAACTAATGCACCCTTGTCATGGCTATTTCTTCTTTAGGGGGAGACCGTTTCGGAATTTATTTTGGGGGGCTAGACAAAATTTTGGGGGGCTACAGCCCCCCCTAGCCCCCGCCCCCCCCCCCCCCCCCCCCCCCGTAGAACCGCGCCTGGGCCAACGATTTTGAGGAAAATAAAATTGATGAAGTCTTTGACAGAATAACGCTGTGTTAGGCCAAAAAAAGTATCCGGTTTCTGTTATGGAGCTTGCCCAAAAAAGTGGTGCGGCGACGCGGCTTTTTTTTTAACCTGTTTTTTTTTGCTTCAAATGTCGGCTGATGACTGCAAAATGGTGCCCGACTAAACTTAGTGCAAATATATGGGAGTCCAGAGAGGCCACATAAAGCTTATTCTTGATCATAACCCCATCTAAAAACACGTTAAAACTGTGCAGCAGCAGGATTCCAGTCAAACCAGTGAGTTTGGCGGTTTCGAGACATCATCTTTCATTGAAAAAAAAACCTTTTCATTTTGCCGACGCGCATGGCTACGGCGACGCGCGCGCATACCAGAAACCGGAGACTTATTTTTTTGGCTTTAAGGAATAAAACGAACATTTAGAATGACGGATATCAAATTTCGCAGAATACACAATGTTCGGGAACTGTTAAATTTCTAAAGCTTTAATTTGAGCTAGAAAGCGTTAGTTACAAATTGCGCAATGCGTACCATAAATCTAATAGTTATTAAAACAGTACTTATAGCACTGTGTGATTCCATTTTATAAGTCATCGAAACGTCCAATATACAGGGCGGGTAAAAAAAGAAAGTGACCGAATTAGAACAAAATATTAAAAAAAAAATACGTGGCTCGCTCCATTCCATAAAAATAACATAGGGATAAAGTACATGTTATTGTTTAGTAACTCTGAAATTTTCACGTAATTTGCAAACTTTAGTCCAAAGTTATGTCAAGTAGTCCACCTTATCATTTACCGTTTTTACGAATTTATGAAAACAGTGAAACATGAACGTTTCCACCTTCATGATCTACGAATGAAATCTTGCAAAGGAAACAGACAAAAATCGCCATCAATATTTGGGGGGGGGGGTGGGTTTGACTTGTTCCTCATATTCAAAAATGTCAGTCTTGACTCAATGATTAAAATCTCAAATGTATTTGAATAAGGGAATAAATGTGTGCTTCGGAGGTTTTTATCACTCTGTTTAAGACCACTTAGAGTCTGGGTGCTGATAATTACCCGAGCCGGAGGCGAGGGTAATTATCAGCACCCAGACTCTAAGTGGTCTTAAACAGAGTGATAAATACCGACGGAGCACATATTTATTCCCATTCATAAATACCTTTTCGGTAAAAAAAAATCATATAATTCGTTCAAAACATCCCGATTTTGTTCAACAAATTCACTTTATGCTTTTTGAAACATCCCTCTTGCAAAATAATGGAGTGTTCAGCTGGCGAGTAAGATGTAAACAACCCTTTTATGGAGATTGACGCGCGCGTATCATGTTCTGCGCGATGTCGCGCAGAACGCACCTGGCACGTTGCGTTTTGAATTTAGAACTATAAAATTCTGACTCCCTGGTATATTGTTGCGCATGCCTACGTTAGGATTGTGAACGTTCAACCAATGAAACGATAAGAGGCACTGGATTTTTAGGAGTCCACATTTTATTGTGACACTGGAAAAGTGTTTAAGACCAGCTAGCCATGTCTTTATCATCCGTTTAAGACCGGCCACGTGACTGGCTCTCGACCAATAGGAATGCGTAAACTGTCTTAGGTATTTATGAATGCCTGTTCATAATCTTTAATTCTCACTCAACTCAATAGCTTCCACTGGTATTCCATGGACAGCCATAAAAAAGGATATTTTCGGTAAAAAATGCATAGTTTCTGCTTGCTCAGATCAATTTCAGCAATTTTTTTCAGATGAGTGGAAGAACATTCCCTTTTATGACATTCTTCATTGGTGCATCAAATTTAATCCAGGTCGCTTTCTTTTTGACTCGCCCTGTATAAGGAATACGAAATGTTACACGGCTATAAATTTTACACTTTTAGCTCGCTGAATATTATTTTTCCGACTACCTTTGCTTGAGTATAAAATCATCTCAAACCGTAATAAATGCTTGCGTCTGAACAGTTTACTTCTGACTACAGATGGCGCCAACATCTTTGGCGTGGCTACAAGCCCGTTTCTTCAAGAAACGAGACGGGCAGTCAGCCAGTTGACTCTCAGACCCATCACAGGCCACTCCCTTCGTGTGGAATGGCCCCTCCGCGGAATTCGTCATCGCCATTCGCCAACCGAACCGATCCATCCAGAGACGCAGGGTCAACAAGCTTCAGGTCGTACTTGTCGTCTGCTCCCATTCGGTATGCGTCTCTGCGCCCCGTTGAGTCCCATTGTACGGTTATCCAGCCGTTACTCCGTAGTTCACTGACGATGCGGCCCTCTCCCGGCGGACTACCGTCCTGACATAAAGAGAGTTGTGATTTGAGTCGACAGCAAAGCCTCAATAAGCACAAGATAATGTACGTTTAATACTTCAAAACGGGTACGTCTAACCACCAGTCGGGTTATTTCTTTTGGTCAACATAATACTTATTTTACGTCAATTCCTCGTAGAATACGTTACATGGGAGTTGGATGAGCAAGGTATCGTAGCCTTATAGTAGAATAGTATTGTGACAAAATACGGGTAGTTCATTTGGATGAATTAGTGGGAACTTTGCCATTGGCGCCCCCTCCCCCAAAAAAAATATATAAAGGGGATGCATGCTACCTGTCTCCCCGGATCACCGCTCGTGAAGTCGACCAACTATACAGTCAACCACAAAATTAATAACACAATGCTAAACAAAGTGACCGATATATTCGTCAGTAAACCAAGATCAATCATATGCAGGCCCTACTGAAGCATAAAGATAAAACCATCCTAGCTACCATACCCGTCACGTGTAGCGTAAAATGGATTCCAATTGTAGGCTCAGGAATGGATACGTAGCCAAACATTTTTTTTCATGAGGATAATGTACCGGGCCCTGGCCAAGCCTTAGCCATTCCTTTAACGACCCGACCTCAACAAAATTAAGGTCAAGTCCAACCGAACCAAACCACAGTATAAAATCCATAAAGATAAGCCGGGAATTTTTACGAACAGCAATGTCAGTTGAAGCCACTGGGTCCACAGTCGGTAAAGACCCGAACTTAGCTGGCTTGTTGTTGTACAACAAGAACTGAGAAAGAGGCGACGCAGTTTTTTTTCTGACACATTAATCAAAACACACCGCCCTCACAATAACAAGTGTAGCCATCGCCCTGTCCCGGAGCGAACATTATCGTCTGCAGGTGAGCAAAGTCCCCCACCATAATACGCATGCGGAAACACAGCACGTGATTGAATAAAATTGTCATGTGATTTGAAATAACTCTATGTAGTTTAGATTTCCCGGCAAAAAAAGCTTGGCATCGCTTGGCACCGACCTAGCGTAGCACGCTAGTTCGGTGATCACAATGCTGCACGTTGCGGGGGTCGAGTCTCTGAAAATTGTTTAAATGTTTCTTCTCCCCACCCCCCCCCCACCCCCCCCACCCCCGGAGTGACAACGCCCTCCCAAGAGTAAATGAGCCAAATTCAGATGTATACCTGACCACCCCACTTCCAGTCTGATCCACGTACGACCTTCATCCCAATCCTCAGCAAACCGGCTATCTTAGATCCGCTCAGTGATGTAGGAATACCTGTACGGAAGACAAAGGATAGACAATTGGTCTCCTTTATACAAAAAGACGTTTTGAATTTCCTTCCATTATTTTGTGCGCTCGAAATAAGATATTTCTTGTGCTCGAAACTATTCGTGTGCTCAATATCCTTGACATGCTTATGCCTTATTAGTAGAAGTCACGCAGCCACGTAAGCTACGTAACAAATTTGAAAAGTTGATTGACAAACCTTTGCAATCCTCAATTGGACTGCATCCGGTCAACACATCTTCACTGGGCCTTGCCTCAAAGTGGAATTCCAGAAAGGATTTCTGCACCTCCGGGTTGTCCCCCTTCATGAACTTGGCGCAGAGATAGCGGGCCTCGTCGCAGGTCAGATCCGACATGTCCACCTGGTAACGGATGTCGTTGATGTTGAAGTTTCTGGAGAAAAAGCTTCGTTTCTTGAGGTCCTGGGACTGTTGACCTTGTGTTAGGACTTGCTCCACCAGGGTGCCGGGGAGCTGGACCGCGCCATCCTCCTGACTGCTCATCCACATGGAGGACTTCCACAGGCCTTGGCCAGCGACGCTGGTTGTCTCTCTGGTGTTGGCGTACAGCACGTCTAGGTTGACTGACAGATCGTTCTCCGCTCGACCTTCTTGGATGGACTGAGAGCCGGGAAGCACCGGTGTCACCTGATTCACAGTCACGTCTTAAAAAAACAACAAAAGAAAAGTATCAAATTATAACAATATGTATGGCGATCATGTAGTTACGGGGCCCCCTTTACTTTCGATCATAAGAGTCAAGGGTGTTTTTTACCATTCGAAAATGACCTTTTTAACCTAAAGCTGACTTCTCTCAATTTATTACCCCTTTTTTTGTTATTTTGAACAGTTTCTTGGGGTTGCAATTACAATTTTCATAAGCGGGTTACGGTTGGTGAAGTGCAATTCAGCGCGCCTTGCACGTTCAAGGTACCGCTTCGGCGGAGCCCCATAGTTCTAAGGGTATGTTCAGGGTACATCGCGGTGATCGCCATTTTTATTTTCGTATTGCGTTTTGTCGCGGTCATCGTCATTTTACCCCCAAATTTCCCTCAAAAATCGATGACGATTCTATGACGTACCTGCACGTTCTTAATGGTGCCAACCAGCTTGTTCAGTCAAATAAATTAAAAGTGGATTTTTTTCTCTTAATATATGGAACGGTGCCCGTAACTTCACAATCGCAATGTGTGCAACACTTTGTCAGAAGCAGATACTTGTTTTATTTAGTGAGGACAGCAGAAAGTCCCCATAACTCAGTCGTAATTTCCCTAACAAAACTTGGGTTCACTGCTGTTAAGGTACAATGCACGTCCCATTTAAGCACCAATCGTCAAACTGCTGCCAACGACTGCGTGTTGGATGTTTTGTCCATAAAATAATTTACTCAGAGCTGTGAACGAAACCCTTGTGCAATAGGTGTAATACAACAAGTACGATGTGGTCCCCGCCCCCTTTTGTTTTGCAGGAAACACAGTACAAAGTTGGTGAGTCACGTGTAATTTTTTTGCAACATTTTAAAGATAAAAACGTACTGTAAGGGCAGACTCGACAACAGTCGCCTGGAAATCCCATTGGGTTTCTACAGGTTGTTGGTTGGCAGGACTCAAACATGCAGCTGAGAATGGCATTGTTGCACGTGCAGGACGAACACATAGACAGCTTGTAGGTTTCCCCGTGGAGAGAAATCCGGTTGCTGTTGTCCATGCAGGGGAGTCGCTGCGGATAACGCTCGAAAACTAGGGGGACAATTAATGAACAAAATATATTGTCTCTCAGCAGCAAATAGAAAATGGAGGCAATCAATGTTCTAACAACCAAATTGAATCAGAACATTGATTGCCTCCATCTTGTCATCAGAGATTGGTCATAAATATTTATGACCATGCTCTGATGAGAAATACTTCAAACTACGGGTTGCGTGTGTACACAGATCTCAAGTTTACGGGGCTGCACTTATTGCAGCGAAAACTCTCCAAAAGTATCACCACGGCAAGTACACATACAACGAATAACAGATCAAAACACTTTTAAGTTGTACACCACCATTTTGGTTTTAACATACCTATATGAACGGCCTTCATAGGAACAAAGATGTATACATCCGTGTTTCTGCTAAATACAGCTATTAGAAAATGTAGCACTTTATGGCAAAAGCTCTACAGTTACTGATGAAGTAGCTGTAGCTTATGCCCTCAGTTTAATTTTAGTTAGTCTCGAAGGTACTTTTTTGACCTCAAATCAATTCATGAGTTCAAAATCCTTTTCATGTCTATGCCTAATAGTTTGTAGGGGTCACGCAGCGCATCCCCTACGGTCATGTGATTTCACAGACCCCTTTTTTAGATGGGGCTATAAGTCTTCTTCTTTTTTTTTTATATGTACAAAGTAAATAGAGCCTGCATACCTCTACAATCGGTGATTTCCGTACATCCGGTTAAAACCTCCTCTGTCGGGACTGCCTTGAAATGGTAGTCCAAGTAGTCCTTCTCCACCTCTGCGTTTGGTCCTTTGTTGAATTTGGCACAGACGTACTTGGCGTCATCACAAGAGTGATCCGTCAGGTCAAACGTGTATCGAATCCCCGGGATTCTAAAGAGCTCAGCTGACGATTTCTTCAAGTTTTTGGACTGCTGTCCTTCGGTCAATGCCTCCTCCACCACAGTGCCGGAGAGTTCGTTGGACCCATCTTCAAAGGTGCTCATCCACATCTTGGTCGTCCACAGACCTTCCCCTTCTATGCTCGTGGTTTCTCTGGTGCTGAGGTAGCCCACGTTCAGATCAAGGATAATTTCGTTTTCGGTTCCCTGCTGAATTGAGGTGCCAGGTGCGACCTCTGGCTCAACATCGGTCACCGTTATATCTGGATTACAGTAATGAATACAACAGTAGGTTAACGGAGTAAAGATAATCCAAGGTAAGTCACAATAGCTATCAAATGCACTTGGCCTTTTTTTTCTGGTGCAAAACACATACGATTTTGTGCACAAAATATTTCCTCAGAGCTGTGACCGTAAACCTTGTGCAATAGATGTAATACACGAAGGATGTGTTCCCCCCTAAGTTCGGCAGGCAACACAACGCAGTGGCGTATCCGCGGGGGGGGGGGGGGGGGGGGGGGGGGGGGGGGGGGGGGGGGGGGGCACCTTGCCCCCCCCCCCCCGGCGGATTTCTTTTGAAGTGTGCCCCAATTTGGAAGATGGGATTGAGACAGAGCTGTTTTAATACCCCCCCCCCATACGCAACTGAGCGAGTGAGTCACGTGCTATTAGTTTCCTGCATTGAAGGACATTTGCGAAAATTCAGTGATATAAGGCCCCTTGCTATACCAAGGAATTTGTTTTTTTACAACTTTTTAAAGATAACAACGTACTGTAAGGGCAGACTCGACAACAGACATCCGCAAATCGCATTGGGTTTCTACAATGTGCTGGTGGACAGGACTCAAACATGCAGCTGAGAATGCCATTGTTGCACGTGCAGGACGAACACTTAGTCATCTTGTAGGTTTCCCCGTGGAGAGAAATCCGGTTGCTGTTGTCCTTGCATGGCAGTAAAGCTAGAAAATACATAGTAAAAGTCGGAACGAAAAAAATGTTGCCTCTTTTGCAGCAAATAATAGAAGAATGAAAAAGGGAAGCAATCAATGTTTTAACAACCAAATTCAATACAACTATGACAATACTTTAATGAGATATACATCACAGTATGGGCTGAGCGGTATAAAAGGGGAGACACAGGCCTCAAGTTTGCACGGCTGCCCCCCCCCCCCCCCTGCAAAAAAACCCAAAAGGTAAGTGTTCTTTCAGCAAAACGAACACAATTCACATACGGATGTACGTGAATTGTTTTCGTCTTGCTGGAAGAACACTGACCGTTTTTTTGTGATCCGGGGACAGAACTTTAAAACGGTGTTTGTGTTTCATATTCCGTAACTTGAAAAGTACGTGAGTGATTTGAATGTTTCTTGCACTAAAAGAAAGTTTATTAATTGGGATTTTATATCCTAGATTTTGAAAGTGTTACATGCAGAACTTCATTACAAAAATTTTCCCGCTATTTGGTGGGTTTTTTTTTACTCAACCTGTATAACAAAATATCAAAACACTTTCAGTTGTACACCACCTACACCACCATTGGGTTTTATTAACATACCGTATGAACGACCTTTCATATTTATGGAACAAGATGTATACAGTACAGCCGTTTATGTCTGCTAGTTACAGCTATATAGAGAATGTAGCACTTTAAAGACTGAGCTGATAGCTACGGTTACTGATGAAGTAACCGTAGCTATGAAAACTTATGCCATAATTATAATTTTGGTTAGTCTTTAAAGACAAGTGCTACCATTTCTTGAGCTCGAAATCATTTCGAGCTTTCAAAATCCTTGTCATGTTTATGCCTAATAATTTGTAGAGGTCAAGCAGCGAAAACTACAGTCATTTGATTTAAAAAAAAAAAAACTTTTTTGGTCAATCTCCACTTTAAAAAAAATGTATATATTAAATATCTACAAGGGAAATAGAGCCTGCATACCTCTACATTCGGTGATTTCAGTACATCCGGTTAAAACCTCCTCTGTCGGGACTGCCTTGAAATGGTAGTCCAAGTAGTCCTTCTCCACCTCTGCGTTTGGTCCTTTGTTGAATTTGGCACAGACGTACTTGGCGTCACCACAAGAGTGATCCGTCAGGTCAAACGTGTATCGAATCTCCGGGATTCTAAAGAGCTCAGCTGACGATTTCTTCAAGTTTTTGGACTGCTGTCCCTCGGTCAATGCCTCCTCCACCACAGTGCCGGAGAGTTCATTGGACCCATCTGCCAAGGAACTCATCCACACCTTGGTCGTCCATAGACCCTCCCCTGCTATGCTCGTGGTTTCTCTGGTGTTGAGGTAGCCCACGTTCAGATCAAGGATAATTTTGTTTTTGGTTCCCTGCCAAATTGAGGTACCAGGTGCAACCTCTGGCTCAACATCTGTCACCGTTATATCTGGATTACAGTAATGAAAACAACAGTAGGTTTAAAACGGAGTAAAAATAATCCAAGGTAAATCACAATAGACATCAATTGCACTTGGCCTTTTTTTCTGGTGCAAAACACATACGATATTTCGTCACCGACACCACTAACTGACACCCGGTGGTCAGCGTTGCAGTAATACAAATCGGAGAAAAACGCTTTTAATTTTTTTTTTATTTACTCAGTAAAATAATCTATCTATCTTAGAGGTATTAGTATCACTTAACGTGAAAATGCTTTAACTACTCAATTATAAACGTTATATTGTGAAGATATGCTTAGTTAATAAGCAATTAAATGATTAAGACGGGTGTCAGTTCGTGAAAACGAAAATTTATGTGTTTTTGGGAGAGTGCGCGCACACACTGCGAATGCGTGCTCGCACTCTCCAAAAACACGTCAAGTTTCGTTTTCACGAACTGACACTCCCTAACGCTATCGCATGCGCGCACTCTCCGAAAACACGTAAATTTTTGTTTTTACGAACTGACACCCTGTGCAGTGTCACTTCGTGGTAACAAAAAACACCAGAATTGACCAATTTCTTGAAAATTCATCATTAAAATTTGCTTATTTTAGATGATTTCAGCAATTTTAACTTCGTCATGTTAAACTTCATGATACAAACTGCTAATATCGGCAAAAAAAGAAAATTTGAATTTTTAAATGTTTGTGTACACGTGTGATGCAGAGGGTGTCAGTTCGTGGTGTCGGTGACGATGGTACAAGACATGCTTTCACGATCTAAATTTACTCGGTTCACTAACGGAGTAACGGTTAAACTATAGGCCTACAACCTCTGTTAAGGTGCATTAAGGTAGCCCCATTTAAACACCAAACCATCAAGCTGCTGCCAACGACTGTGCTTTTAATGTTAATAATGCTTTTAATATTATAAGTAATATCCCGGTTATTGTAAAACGTTTATCATTTGAATTCACCGTTTCTAATAGTCAAATTCGTCCAGGAACATCAATTTAGTGCACTTCCAATGATTAATTGCGTCTGTTGTCAGACAACTTCAAATTCAGTTCAAGCAAATTCAAGCTAACGAGCGTACGTTTTCGTCCCCGGGGTATTCGATTTCGTCTCGTCTAGCAAAACCTTGTTATTCAGAAATCGAATTCGTCTAATTGATTTATATAAGACGAATTTGATCTCTGAATGCTGCCCATCGGCAACAGCTAATGACGAATTTGATCTGTCACTCGACCCGGTGACTAAAGAGGGTGAACAAACCTTAAACTTGAATGTTAAATGACTTAATTGGTTTTGTTAAAAGCGTGTGAAATTCAGTGACAGAATTGGTGAATTTGAATGAAACATCTTTTGAAATAGCCCGGAAACCTATATTCACTCAGAGCTGAGGTTCGACTGTTTCCCCCCTTTTTTTCGGCGTGAAACACAGTTAAATACGGAAGCGTAGAAGGGACAAGAGAAATTAAGAAAAATGTAGTTCCTATCTCGCCACGGCGAGTTACTATCTCGCCGCGGCGAGATTGTAACTCGATTTTGTTTTATTTCTCGTGGCCCTTCTACGCTTCCGTAGTTTAACCCTAAAGGCGATAGCCTGTAAAAAAAAAAAATTTCGCGACCCGAGCTGTTATGACTTTTTAGCCTCGAGCTTTGCGCATCGTTAGATACCAAACACATAAAATCGGACCACGGGTTGCCGCGTAGCGAAAATTGTTCCCTGCGCTACGCGCAGTGAAAACTGGATTTTCGCATATATGTCGTGTACACAGAGCAGAATTGCCATTCGTACATATGAATAATTAATTAGCCATAATTCCAAACCCTTTGAGATTGTAAAAAATAACCCGGCCCTTTTAGGGTTAAAGCAGATGAGTCTTTTTAAAGAACAAAAACGTACTGTAAGGGCAGACTGGACAACAGACGCCCGGAAATCCTACTGGGTTGTCACATGTTGCCGGCCCGCAGGACTCGAACATACAACTGAGAGTGGAGTTGTTACACGTGCAGGACGAACACCTGGTCGTCTTCAAGGTTTCCCCGTGGAAATATATCCGGCGGTGGTTGTCCATGCATGGTAAATGCGCAGGGTAACCATCCTCACTGGAGCTGGGAGCTAGTTCATAAAAAAACAAATATCACAACGGAAAATATCAAAGTATTTGCCGGGTGATACAACGGGAGACACGTGCCGCAAGCTTGCAGGGCTGCCCTAATTGCACCCAATACCCTATATAATTAACACCAAGGCAATAACGGTTACAGCATTAATAACAGATCAAAACACGTTCAGTTGTAAAGAGTAAGCCTTCAACTTGTACACCAAGTTGGGTTTTAACATACCGTACTCATGGGCGGCGCGGGGGAGGGGGAAAGGGGGCGCTTGCCCCCTCGGAAAAGCACAAAAAGGGGGGGGGGGGAGAAAAAAAAAAGGCGCAAAGTCATATTGTTGTTAATTTAATGGGGGGGGGCAATGGGGGGGAATGCTGGAAACTATAGTTAGGGTTTTTTTTGGGGGGGGGTGGGGAAATGTGCTTTGCCCCCCCCCCCCCCTCTAGAAAAAATCCTGGCGACGCCCATGAGGCCTTTCATATTCACGAAAACAAAGATGTGTGTAATGTTGTGCATCGGGTCGGGTTGACCAGGCCAAACCGACCCAAAAAAGCATAAATAGTGAATCCGGACAGCAACCGATCGAACTTCCCAAATCCGACCGAAGTCAGCACCATACGCCGGGACCCGAACCGACAAGAAAAAAAAAACCTGCAAGTATCTGGTTTGGGTAAATGTGTCCGCTTTTTTTGCCTGTATACTTGCCAGCGTCGGGTAAAAACCGTCGTCTCTCAGTAACAGAAGAATAATGTGACTTACTGGTGATCCTACCCGTTATGGACTGTGCAACATAGTTAGGCACATTCGCGCGGAGGATTGACGGTGCGCGCAAGAATTATTGTTGACCAATGGTTAAACCATAGTTAACCATAGTGGTTAACTCTATCTAGTCGACGATGGTTGACTACGCTAGTCGACTATTTGGAACCAGCCTACCGCGGCTGGTCGCGCAACGATTTATAGCTGGTTATCAATAGCAATTTCCATAGTATAGTGCAAAGGGGACCATCTACTGACTCTCTAAATTCCAAAGAGTGAAATTAGGGACTAAACATTTTAGAGTGAAAATCACTCTCATTTTCGATTAAAATAGTCTGAATAATGAACCACTTCAGTCGGAGCTCGAGTGAAATTTCGATCGATCATTAAGATTGAAGAAATTTAACTCTAAAACGTCTAGTCCCTAGTTTCCGACTGTGGGAGTAAATCTTCACTCGAATGAAGTGAATTTTCACTCTTTGGAATTTAGAGAGTATCAACAAAAAATATTATTTCAAATAAAGAGAAACAACAAGTGTTGAATAATATTGTGCGACCGCCATTTTTTTTTTTTACGGTTGTTGACATGACAATAGTTCGACTAGAGTCGTTCGCACTTCAACTTCAGTGTGCATGTGCTAGGTACGTCACGAACTGACCACTAGTTAACCACTGGTCCTTGCTCGAACTTGCCTAACTTATTGCGCCGCTTGAATTTTCGAACGTTTCGTTTTATTTCGGTAAATATCGGTTTATTTCGGGTTTTTCACATGATGGCTTATCCAACCCGACCCGACCCAAAAATCGCAAACGCAAAACCGAAAGCGACCCAAACCTTAGTATTACTATAGGTTTTCCTGCCCAACTTCGATAACTTAGCATCCGAATTAACGATAGGTTCATTCAATTTAGGACGAAATTGATTGACGAACTAGATCATCATTCAAAGAGCACAATCATTCAATTTAACCTTATGATTACACGATTGCACACATTTGTTCATACAGAATTGAAGAGTCAGAATTCAATTTTGGGAAAAAACATCCAAAGAACGTTGAAATTCGCGTGGACACTCCGCGAAGGGCGTTTTGGACGTTCAATTTTGTGAAAAGGCAAGCATTTGTGATGTGACATTCGTGCAATGTTTTCATTTAATGTTAATCTTCAAATTCGTATTTGGTTCTGTTTGAACAATATGCAAATTATACTACGAAAGACAGCGTGTAGTTTACAAACAGATCTCATTTACACTGATGAATTGCCGCCGAAGGAAGAACTTGTTCTGTCTTCTCAGCACGTAATTTGTTTCTTTTTGAATAATTATGAAAAGACAGAATAACACCTAAGTAAAATGAAATATAACAGCCAAAGTATATATTAGTACAGAAATGATCAATGAATGAAAAAGGGGGGCATGCAAATACAAAGGAGAAACAAAAGATGAATGAAAAATGGAGAGACAAAGAAGTACTTGCAAAATGTGATAAATGAAGAAAATAAACCCATTGCGAACAAATTCCGAATAATCTGAATTAGCACATTACACATAAATACGTGGGTGGGTGTGATCTGATACACCGTGCCCTCTGGAGACGTGTTGTACAATAGGGAACAAAAGATTGTATACGTCTCCACAGGACAATTTCTATAGATGAATACCACAAGATTTTCACGAAAAAGATATATGGATTTTACTCTCGAAAACTAGGAATTTCCAAGGTGGGTTGATTCGTCGCAAATGGAAAAGTTTTAGAAAAGGATATTAAGTCCAAATTTTAGCCAAGGAAATTAATTCTGGTTAAAATAAGAGCATTTTGAAACTTCACTTTCAAACTCGAAAACTTTACTACACGAGAACAAAGAAATGTCTTCACAAGAATACAAATTTCAGTATATAGTGTGTGGGTGTGTGTTTGTTGCATGTAAAAATAACAAATTGTAAACTCCATTTAGTCAATATAATCATTGTCCATGTCAGTTTTTCCTCATAAACATTGTACTTTCCTTCTCAAATTTGAAGGCTAGAAGTGCGAAAAATCAGTATTGCCCATAGACGAAAACAAAAGTAAAATTCGGGAGAAAATTCTCCTTCTAGTCACCCGGCGCGAAATCGAATGACGGCTATATCGTTTAATTGATTGCAGCTAGTTCTAAATTGAATGCGTGAAAGTACACAATTCAAAGTCTGCAAACGAAATTGAAGGCTCAAAGTTTGAAGATGAAGCACGAGAGCAACGACCTGAGAAAAATCGCTCGGAAACGAATGCACGCACGTTGATGGATTTGACTGCTGTTTTGCCGAATTCGGCCAGGAAAACCTATATTACGCTGGGCAGGAGGATTCGTCGCTCCCCGAATGTTTTGCAGTCGAGTAACTCGTAAACAAATCGCGAACAGCTCTTGAACACACACACCGAGAACCAGTACTGAAAAGAAGTTTAAAAACGGAGAAAAACACACACAAACAAAAAATGCCTGCTTTGGCTGTACAGCCGAAGCAGCTAATGAAAGCAATTGGTGATTCGAAGTAGGGTATCTTACTTACATGATGAGCTGAGCTCCTGCGCCCGGCAAAAAGTTTGATAGCAACAAGGAATAGGAGGCAGACGCACCGGCCTCTTCGGCTCACCAAACTATACATGGTTGAGACAATCCCTGGGAACCGCAATCCACAGAATGCAGGCAAGGCAGAATTTCAAGCCCCTATATACAGGTCCCCTATATACAGTTCATTTTCTAAGAATATATTCATGACACATCTGACCCAAAAGATCAAGACACCTGATGTGAATATCATTATGGGATGGCCTTCTACTGATCAACAAAGTTCCTGCTATATAGAAGAGCTTTTTTTCCGCCCTCGATCGTATATCAGTTCATTTCTTAAAATATATTGGTGACACATCTGACCCAAAAGATCAAGACACCTGATGTGAATATCATTATGGGATGGCTTTCTACTGATCAACAAAGTTCCTGCTATATAGAAGAGCTTTTTTTTTCTACTCAGGGTCTCATAATCAGTTCACTTCTTAGAATATACTGATGACACAACCTGACCCAAACGATCAAGACGCCTGATGCGAATATCATGAAATTACAGTCTGCATTGTATCCTATCCCCCCCCCCTCTCGCTAGCTAGCAGGTAAGAATTGTGCCCACAATGTTGGGGTAGTGCATATGCCAAGGAGGTAAGGACTTTGACACTTCATATTCTATAAACATCAAAACGTCCTGCAAATCTTCACAAGAACTTACAGACCGACACACATTTACTGTACAGAATTGAGAAAACACCCGAACCGCCACAAAATTATTTTTTTTCCCCTCGTCACAGTTCCCCCTCGTTATGTTGTTGATGATTTTGAAGAAATGAATCTTTTTGGCAAAGTTCATCAGAAGGCGTCAAGGACCGAATCGAAAGCTTTTCCGGGATGTGTGACCTTAAGGGGGCATGGGTTACGACTTCTGCTCGTATCAGTGTCGATGCATGAACATGTCTCTTATTGTATTTTTAGCAGTTGTTGGCACATAAATTATTATGTGGAAAACATTTCCAAGTAAATCGAAATCATTCTTTGGAAGTATTATATTTGTCGGAAAAACATGGCAAGGACCAACGGAGTGTGGTTACCAGACACGGTTCTATACGGGGGATGGGGGAGGGGCCTTTTGTCTAGCCCCCCAAAAAAATTCCATAAAAAACTAAAATGTGTTTTGTGACAAACACAAGCTGTTTCGGATATTCGAAATAATCTGTGCACGTGATGAACAATCAGTGATGTCACTAACACTGTCATCTATAACAACACATTATACGTACATGTCAAGTTATAACCAAATCGAACGTATAGGTCTGTAAATATAGGCCTATAAAGAACAAAATGCCCCTTTAAGGGACGTCACGTGACATTTGATGATGACATCACATGAATTTTCATCTATAACCCATCTCGGCATTGGTACGATCACGAATTTCTTCCAGGATTATCTGTGGGTGGTAGTCTAAGTGTGTACCAGGTCTAACGTCAATCGCATAATTTACAAAAGTGCCAAAGTAGAGTGTTTTAAAACGTGTACAAACCCTATGGGGAAAAATGCATCTTTAATGTGATGTAACCAAACACCTGATGACGTCACGATCACAAATTTCTTCTAGGACCATCTGTGGGTGGTTGTCTAAGTGTGTACCAAGTATAAAGTCGATCAAATTTACGAAAGTGCCAAAAAGTGAAGCGTTTTAAAACGTGTACAAAACCTATGGGGAAAATATGCATCTTTAATGTAAAGTAACGTGACACCTGATGACGTCATGATCACAAATTTCTTCAAGGACCATTTGTGGGTGATGGTCTAAGTGTGTACCAAGTGTAACGTCGATCAGATTTACGAAAGTGCCGAAATGGAGCGTTTTAAAACATGTACAAACCCTATGGGGAAATAAGCATCTTTAATGTGACGTAACCTGACTCTTGATGACGTCACGATCACGAATTTCTTCTAGGACCATTTGTGAGTGGTAGTCTAATTATAAATTAAGTTTAAAGTCGATTGGATTTACGAAGATACCAAACTGGAGTGTTTTAAAACGTGTACAAAACATATGGGGAAAATGCATCTTTAATGTGACGTAACCTGACACCTGATGACGTCACGATCACAAATTTCTTCTAGGACCATCTGTGGTGGTGGTCTCAGTATGTACCAAGTCTGAAATCAATCGGCTTTATAAAAGTGGCAAAGTGGACTGCCAGAAGAAACGTGTGTTAAACCTATGGGAAAAAGTCTGAAAAAAGGAGAAAAAAAAAAAAAACTAGA